CTTTTGACGGTAGGCTGGACTCTATAAACATTTCCGATGACAGTGAAGATGTATGGCATGTTTGGCAAGACGGTGTTGTGCTTGGTTACCAATTTGAGCCCGAATATTTGTCTGAAGAGGAGCTCTTGGAGTCCGCGGCATTTCAGCCACCAGAGAACTATTGGTTGGAACAGCGAATGGACAATACTGACTGGTAGGTCTCAGTTTTTTTACACCCCTTCTCTCATGTCTCTAACGTTAGTTTAGTAGGGTATTGATGAGTCTATACGGCGTCTAGGCTCGCCATCGCTCGACATGATGCGAAATACAGTTTAGCCTACACTGTAAACAGAAAGTCCAGTCTATGTACAGGGCATGCAGGGTGCACTGCATGCTTCTAGTGTGACTGGCCATATTAATTAGATATCAGTGTGTCAGGGTCTTGATCCTGTATAATGTCATCATGCCATGCAAGCTATGGCCATGAACATGATTTAATTAATAAAGCTGGGGTTAGTGGAGGTGATTGGCGATTCCTTTGCAGGTTTTCGAAGTCGATCGTACCGAAGAAAATGGGGCCTAGTCCAATAGGCCTGTGATCTAGCTGGCCTGGCCTTAACTGTTAGCAAATTCCTATGTTAAAATACATCTTAACTGTGGTTTTGATTTTTACAGGTGCAAGTGTGACAGATGTGAGTTATGTGAAACTCCAGAGGAAAACACAGAAAAGATGCCAATACAGAAAAAAATGATGAGTACAACGACAATGCATTTCACAGCATCCAGGTTTCATGTCTAACTGTTTGGATGTCTGGGTTCAGCAGAATGTTTATGATCATTTCAAAGTGCAATATAAACACAAATTTGAAGGAGAAACCAATGAGTGAGTGTGTTAAATTAAATAATTAAATCTATTTTTATAGATACACTATTAATAATATGGATCTCTATCCATATTTGGTGGACAATAGGACATTTGCATACAAAATATCACACGAAAATATCACACAATAGGTTCTCATCCATGCATTCACGGCGATGACTAAGCAAATGAACACAACTCATGACGTCATTCCCGGGTTGGTGGCGCTACTGGCAATATTTGAGTTAAAAGCTGTAGCAGACATTTTGGGCCCAGAATTTGTTCATTCAAAAGGCTATAAATATAAAACGCATTTTTTTTTTTTTTTTTTTTTTTTTTTTTTTTTTTTTTTTTTTTTTTTTTTTTTGATCTTATGCATATTTGGAGTTACAGGAACAAATTCAGAAATGAATATCATACATTTAATTCACATAGTGGTTACTCTTTAAAGTTTAGTGACCATAATATATACAGGAATAAGAGAAATATTAGAGGAGTTCTACGATAAAAAATGTAATATGTATACACTGTGTAAATGTATAAATAGAAAAACAATTAGTAATAGACGATAACAGAAATCGATAAAAAAACATGAATAACATATCAAATTACAGACCAATTAAGGAACAGTCTGGGGCTGGAGAGGAGTTGTGAGAGGATGGACAGCATCACTTGGGTCTGAGCTCAGGCTGTGGCTTTGTTTGTTATCAAAACAATGGCAGCAGGAAATGTTATCTTCAAGTTTAGTACAGTCAGTAGTGTGAATAGGGTGCTAAGCTCTCAGGTTAGGAAATTTGTGGGGCAAGTTGGTGTCACTCCCAGTGGATTGACGCAGGTGTCATCTCTTGTTTGTTGGATAATTACCGAGAATTAGGTAATCAGGTTATCTTAACTATATAGTAAAATCTAAGATATGGGAAAAATTGCATTGTGCTTTTTCCTCATCTGCAGACTCAGACAGAAGCCCACCCTTCATTAGTAGGATCTAATCCCAAACAAGAGAAAGAAAACGGTGTTTCCTCTCCCTGCCAAGTCCCTCAGAATAATCTCGCAATTCGCAAGAAATAGACGAGGTTGAACACAGTGCTGACTCACCCGATGCCAAACTCAATTACCATAATGTCTCTATGATGAGGTTCTCACTTCAGGCAAACACTGAATTCCAAATAACGCACAGCACCCAAGCGGAACTAGAGAAGGATTTTCCCCAGTTTGCTATTGCCATCTAGGTCTCCCCAGGAAGTTCATTCAAACACCCAATAATAAAGGCACTGTATGATTCCTATCCCCTGCTCACACTCTCAGTTTCAACAAAAATGTCGATCTCAAAGTAACACAGAAAGCCATCATCCTTCAATACCCAATGGAATTCCCCATTGAAGCTACTGAAATGTGCCTATATGTAGTGTTTGCCAAGAGGTTGGTATAACACTGAGCTAAAATTGAAGCTAGACAAATACTCCTTACCTTTAAAAATTCTGTACCGGAATATATTGATCTTAGCAAAATCGGGACCTTTAAAGCCAGAAAATATCTCCCAAGAACCACTGAGATGCTGCAAACATTAGAAGTTCAGCCATCATAAGAACAAATG